CGGGTTCCCAGCTGCGAGGTTATTGCCGACGCAATTTAAAAGCTCGGCAAAAAATTCACCCTGCTCAGCAGGTACAGTCTAGTAGGTTGCATAGCATCGAGCGCCACTTGGTACAGTTCCACCCTGCGTGTCTAAGGGGTAACCTACGTTTAAGTTACTATATATAAATAAGCTAAACTAGCTATAGTAAAGAAATAGGTCTATAATAAAACTTTATTTAATAAGCTATTAGAGATAATATAGTAGCTATAAGTAACTAACACTAAAATAAAATAGGTTTAAAAGTAGCTAGAAAGGCAGACTATAAATAAGAACTAGTTAATTAGATACTAAGACTTAGTCTATTATAAAAACTAAGGTAGTAGTTCCTTAAGAAGCTAGTGTTTACTAAGACATAATTTCTTTATACTATAATAATCTACTAGTAGGACACTTTAAAAAGGATAAAACCTTAGACCTAATTAAATAGAAGGTCTAGTAGCTAGGCCTTACTAAGGAGGTTAGTAACTATATTAAGAGATATAGTATATACTTTAGAATAAAGGCTTAGCTATATAAACCTTATAGTAGGTTATAACCCTTACTAATACCTTTATAACTATTTAATAAAATCTTTATAGATTTTATTATAAGACTTCTTTTTATATAGTATATAAGGCGTAAGGTAGATATAATCTTAATAATAGTAGACTAATTTACTAAGTTCTACTTATATACTATAGTAAGTATATATATTACTATAGTAGAATTAGTAGAAATTATTTACTAAAAAGTAGAGCTTAAGTTTAAGGCTCCTAAAGGGATTATAACTAATAAAGGTTTAGTATTTATAAGTTAATTTTAGTCTTTACTATATTACTATTTAAAAATAAACTAAAGGCTTTTAATAGCTTTTTATTTATAAACTAATAGTTAAATAGAAGTAGTAAATAAGGTAATAAAATACTACTTTAGGTGCTTTATAGTAAGCTAAGAAGGCTACTAGCTATCCTTACTTAATTTAGTAGAATTTATAGTAAATAATATAAAAAACATAATAACTAAAATATCCTTATTCTAAGTACTACTTAGGTATAACCTAGAGGTATATATAGACTTTAAGGACTAAGTCTAGAAAGGGGAGGTCTAAGGCATAAGAGATTACCTAAAGAAACTAGCTTAGTTATAAGCTAACTTAATAACTTAGTAGTAATAAGTAGTAAAAAGTAAGTAAAAGGCTATAATAACTACTACTAACCTATAAGTTTTAACTAAAGATAACTAGTAATATTATTAGTAAGAAACCTTAGGTTTAAGGCTATAAAACAGAAGCTAGCCCTAAGGTTTATAAGGCTATTTTATATACTATAAAAAGTATACTAGTAGGTATATAGGCTTATACTACTAGAAAAGTATATAAGGATATATAATATATTTTATATTAGCTTTTTAAAACCTTAGGTTAGTAATAAGGGGGATAATAAACTCTTACTAATACTAGACCTAAAAGGAAATAATAAATAATAAAAACTTAATTATATTATTAATTTAAGGAATACTAAAGATAGTAAGTACTTCCTAATTAAATAAATAGGTATAATTTATAGGTTAGTAAAAAAGACTTAGTAAACGCTAAAAAGGCCTTAAGTAACTATAAAAAAGCATAATAAAGGAAGCTAAAAAAGTAAAATAATAGTATAAAACTAAAGTAATTAAGTACCTAAAGGACGTAGACTACTATAAAGGATATAGACTACTATAAAGCGTATAGTGTAAGTAAAAACTAAGTAAAAAGGTATTAAGAATTTACTAATTTTAATATATAATATAAACTAAACTTAAGCCTAATTATTAGGCTAGAAATAAGTAGAAGTAAGCTAGTAGCTATAAGTTATTATATTAATATATTTATAAAGGTCTACTAAGAAGTATATAAGAGGGCGCTAAGTTACTAACTTAATAGCGTTCTACTAAACTAAGTAAACTAGATTATTATAGACCTTACGCTTAAATAACTACTAGAATATATAGCCTTAGTTACTAAGAAGAAGATATAGATTCTAGCGCTAGTCTTACTAAAGTTAGTAAGTAAAATAAAAAAGAAAATAAGTAGTATACTTTATAACAGACTAGTATCTAGATAAGGTTACTTAGAATCTAAGTAATATACTATAACTAAATAAAGTAATAGGTGCTAACTAAGGTATTATAAGATTAGAAGTTATTTTATATAAAAGAAGTTAGTAAAATATCTATTAAAGAGTATAAATAAGTTATATAGGTTTAAGATACTTAGATATAAAGTTTATAAAATTATAGTAATAATTAATATTAAGTATAATAAAAACGTTAATAATCTCTAATATAAGATTAAATAATTCCTCTTAAATATCCTTAGTTTCTTTATAACAGACTATTATATATAGGGAGTTAAAAAAGAATAGTATATCTTAGTAATTACCTAGGATAGTAAGAGAACACTATAAGGAAATATTAGTAATTAGTTAATTAATTACTTATTAACACTTATAGAAGTATAACTAGTGCTATACTAGTTACACTAAATATAATAAAAGGAACTATTTAAAGTAAAGATATACTTTATAATTAAAGGGAAGTTAGTAAGGGTTCTACCCTCCTTATAGGTCTTTACTATAGTATAAAAGTAATATATATAAGGCTAGTTAGTAGTATAAGGGCGCTTAGGAAGTAGATTAGGGATTTATATAGGTTCCTTAGGCTTATTACTAAGGTCTTAAGGACTATTCTTAAGACTATCCTTATTACGCTTAAGATAAAGGCTAAAAGGATTATTATAATTAAGGAAATATATAGGACTTTTATTATCTTTATTACTAAGAGGTAAAGAAAGTAAAGGCGTAATATTATAATTAGAAAGTTCTTTATTAAAGCCTAGACTATTATTATTTTAGTTATTATTATAATTATTCTTTTTATTATCTAATAATAAACTATCTTAAAAATAAAGTGTTAATAAACCTAAAACCCTCTTAAAAGGCTACTTAAAAAATAAACTTATAAGGGTAGTAAAAAATTAACCTTTAGTATAGTATATAGTATAATTATAGTATTAAGCTAAGGCTTTAACTATTTATTATATAGTGTAATCTTAATAGCGCTAGGAGTTCTATATTACCTAATAAAAGTTAAATTAGTAACTTATTATTTTAAAATAAGGTAAAGTAAAGTAAAATACTAAAGTAACTTAAAATAAAATTAAAATATAAAAAATAATAGCTAACTAAGGTATTATAAATAAAAAATTATTAAATTAAGATAGTTATAAGGGTAAAAAATATAAAAATACCTAGTAATAATAATATAAATAAACTAAATTAGAAAAAAAAGTAAAAAAAAAAACTTAGGCCTTAGTAAGTAACTAAGGTTTAAGTATATATAGACTAAGGCTAGGAATTCCCTAGGGACTAGGCCTATATTAGCCTAGGAAACGCTACAAAAAGGATCTAGAAACCCTACTTACTTAACTTAAAACGCTACATAAGGATAAGTAGCTTAGGAGGGGGCGTAATTATTATAAGATAATAACTACTTAACTAAAGGACGCTACCTAAGACTAGGTAGTAATAGCTACCTAACTATCTTAAGGTTAGTATAGTGTTTTAGGAAGTAAGGCGTATTTAGCTAGTAATAGCCTTATAAATTACAAGAGAATAGTTCTTTAAGATTTGGCTTCTATATAATATAAGACCTATAATTCCTAATACTTCTTTATAATTTTAATAGTCTATTATATATATAGATATTATATTATAAGTAGCTTTATTAGTTTCTTTAGATATATCTTAAGGATTAATTAGTCTACTACTATAACCTCTAGGTTAATATAGTCCTAGAGATTATAACGCTTTACTTTTACTTAGATAGCATTAAGCTATATAAACTAATTACTATATAATTATAAGATAGTTACTTTATTATTATAGTTTTTATTAATTATTATAATAGTATTTAATAAGTAAATAAGTATATTAGTTATTATAAATATATATATTAAACTATTAATTATTAAATAGTAAGAATTATAATAGTTACTTAATTAATTCTATTATATATTATATATCTATCATTAATTCCTATTGAAATAAGGAAAAACCCCTACTTCTTAGTTAGGAAATCCCTAGCTAATCCTAGCGATATTATTAGTAAAGTTACCCCTAAAAGTAGGGCTAATTCACTGCCTATTCCCTAACAATTTGCTATAGGGCAACTGTGTATTTGCTGGCTAATTCACGTGTAATTCCGCCACATTTAACATCTATAGACTCCCCTAAGCTCTAGGTTGTCTAACCCTGCTGATATTTACCCTAACTGTGGGAAGTTAAGTATAATATAGCCAAGATCTAACAAGGCCAATCACAGGCTCAGCCACTTACACAGCATCGCCGCTATTACTCCCGGTTTACCCTCTAAAACTGCTGTGGCACACAAGGGCGGTGGTGAGTGTGTTAGCAACACAACCTGGTTGTACCGGGTCCCAAGGTTTATTAACTAGGTTAGTCCAGGCTCCGGGAGTAGACAGCCAGGTCCTCTGTAGTTATGCGCTAAACACAAGGCCGCAGCATCCTAGCTAGGCTATTTAGTATCGCCGTTATTGCTTGGTGCTGCTCAGGATGCAAATGGGCGGTAGCCCGCCTCTCCCTTACTACCATACTTTGAATGCCTGCTTAGAGACCCTGGCACCTCTACGCCAATACATACTAGCCATCCCATTGTCAATTAACCTTTTCCTCCAGAGCACAACAGCCATATCAAATGACTCAAGTACTACCATGGGTATTCTGCGTCATGCGGCATTTGTTCCAAACAGAATGGCGCCAGGAGTATATTCCATTAAAATTAATAATATTAAAAAACGCCGTGTAGGTTTGAAGTAGTTCATATATCCCGCTCGGTGCCCCTGGAAACACAACCCTATTATCCACACACTCGCTCGGTGCCCGCCAGCCCAATCTGAGAACAAATCCATCGCGAAATCAAACATGGCTTCCATTATCACCACCGCAGCTCTCGTTTATGCGCTGTATCTCCTTAGCTACCTCTGCCGTTCCATCCTCTCTCTGGTTCGGAACGTACGCATCGCCAAGCAAATCGGGATCCCGGTCGTCTGGAGCCCCGTTAGCTCCTTCAACCCCCTGTGGATCATCACCTGCAAACGCGTCGCGCCATTCTTCCAACGCCTTCCCTTTGGCTTGGGCGATTGGACGAGATATAGCACCCTCGACTGGACGTGGATAGACCGTACCACTGGAGGAACTGAATCTACGGTCCATAAGCAATATGGTTTTACTTTTGTGAATGCCACACCCCGGGATGTGGAAATTCACACCTGTGATCACCACGTATCCGATCAAATATTACGAAAATACACTAATGACTTCCCCAAGATAAGTCACTATGCCAGTAGATGCCCGCCTGCTTTCGAGCCCCAAATAGGTTTCCAAAGGTCCAGTTCTGACTTGTGTCATTATAGAAGTACTGGATGTATTGGGGACGAGCCTAGTCTCGTCAGACGGCGATGACTGGACCCGTCACCGGAAGGCTACTGTTGCGACCCTAAGTGATCGAACCAACGGCCTAGTTTGGGCAGAAGCCCTCAGGCAGACACGACAGATGGTGCAGTACTATGAAGCAGTTAGCCAAGGTCGTATTCTCGATCCTATTGAGGACATTCGCGAGCTGTATCTGCACGTCTTCACCCGAGTCTGCTATGGCGTTGCCTATGACTTCAAACAGCAAGAACAAATCCCCGCGGGACACTCCTTGAGCTATAAGACATGCTTATACACGAGCATCAGGGGTATTTTGATGCTTCGACTGATCCCTTGGTCAATCATGCGATTGTCCAACCTGCCCCTGCCGTCCAAGGTCCGTACCTTTCGCCAAGCCATCATCGAGATGCAGCAGTATCTCGACGAAATGATCACCACCAGTCAAAGCTTAATAAGCGGCGATAATACTAGGAAGAGCCAAAACCTTCTTAGCTTCATGGTAGAACGGAGCAAAGAATCGCAATACAGGCCCAAGACGGACGTCTGGCTGAATGAGTCGGAAATCCGCGGGAACCTCTTTACATACGCATTAGGGGGTCACGAATCCTCGGCCCATACATTCTCATTTGCCCTATATCTTCTGTCGGCTTATCCTGAAACGCAGGATTGGTTAATCCAAGAAATTGATCAAGTTATTGCTTCTGATGCGAGCTGGATGTCGGAGGAAGCTTTCATGGGGCTATACTCTCGCTTGCCGAGATGTCAAGCTGTCATAGTAGGTGAAATCCTCTTTCGTCAAGTATTTGACTAGGATCCCAATATCATCTAATAGGTCTGTTTCTATCATTCTAGCTTGAGACCCTTCGGTTATATCCGTCGGTAACCGTGGTGCCAAAATGCACCACCTCTGCGGCGGTAACGCTTTCGATTAACGGATCAAACCGCCGCATACCGCCCAACACAAACGTCTTTGTCAACATGCCCAGCATTCAGGTCCGCGAATCCATCTGGGGCTCAGGTGCCGGGCTCTGGAACCCGGGACGGTGGATCGCGAGGCCGACGGCCGATGATGGCCAGAAGCACGAGCGCGTACAGCCCCCCCCGGACGGCGCGTTTCTGGCTTGGTCGGAGGGCAAACGTGCCTGTCCCGGCAGGCGGTTCTCTCAAGTCGGGCTTGTCGCGGCTCTCGCGGCAATGTTCTCGTCGCACAGGCTCGAGGTTATGCCTAACGAAGGGGAGAGTTCTGCCGAGGCGAGAATGAGAGCCAATGCTGCAGTAAACAGCTCATATGCTGTTATGACGGTCCATATGTATGATCCATACTCTGTGAAGATTCGTTTAGTGAAGAGAGAAAACGGGTCTGGCCATGAGGCAGGTGCCGGAAAACTAGAGACGGACAACCTTATAAACTAGAAAGTCAGATAATAGTGTAATTGTCCAGCATGGTCAATCACTGATGGAATTAGTGTCTCTAAGTGATTGAGATATCTTGATTTCGGGCTTGGTCAGCAGGTTAAAGCTGCTACAATCCGTATATCTCGGAGTTTTTCAAGCTGCAAGAGGCCTTTGGTTTACGCGCAAAAGGTCTAGCTATGTACACAGGCATTGAGGTTAGGACTGTACTATTCTGTTTTCTAGAAAGCTACAGGAGTGCATGGTAGCTATAGTGACTATAGTACCTTTTTAAAGATCTCCAAGTATTATCCTCTCCTATAGTGTTTCTCTACCATGTTAGCTGGTGTTTTCTATCTCGCCCTTATTATATATACAGTTTCCCTCAGCTTTGGTCAGTAACCCTAGAGGCCCCGTGAGCGGCAAAACAGGTATTCAATAAATAAACAAACACCTCAATCTACTCACTCTTGAAGCTCTATCGACCGAAAAATTGCAGACACACGTTATGAAACCTTCTACACCAATTTTACCCCTAGATTTAGATAATGAGTCCATGTATTCAGTGACCAAAATTCCTTGCCAAACGTCCAGGAAACCGGCGCAACGCCTACTCACCACGCAACAAGCTCAAACAAGCAGAAGATAAAAGGTAATGGCAAATACAAATGTAAAGAATTAGGGCCATATTCATCTTGCTAAAAAAATGCTATAAGTCCGTGGGAAGCTCAATCGTGAGACGCTCTCCCAGGCACCATGTCAACACGACCGTGGCGCCTCCGAAAAAGAGGGCAACGAGCGCAATGAGTGTATGACCCCAGCCAAAGCCCAGCCGGGCAAATAGCGCAGGCGCAGCCAGGGGGAATAAGAAGCTCGCAAGGCTGCGCACCATGGCGGCGGCCGACAATATCGACGTGGCATGGACGCCGAATGCGTCGATCATAAGGGCTTGCAGGGACTGGTAGGCTGTGAAAGACCCCATGGCGAAAAGAGCGCCACCTACATCTGCCGTGAGAATTGAGGTTCTCTGCTGCGCCGCCCAGCCTATGACGATCAGGCCCGCGGCGAAGGCTACGACGCCGAGGACGGTCATGGGCAGCCGGAAGATTGCCTTATCGACGCCTCTGCCGAGGCGGGCCCTTAAACCCCGGTAGATGCGATCGGAGATTGTGCCGCTAATCAAGACGGATACGATGTTGCCGGCAAGGAAGGCTAGGTAGTTGAGGGATGCCGTGTCTACTGATTGTCTGAAGACGCCAGTAAAGATGTATATGTAGATTGAGAAGGCCAAGTATAAAAGACCCCAGAGGTAGGATTGGAAGAAGACGAGAAGCATAGCCATGGGCTGAGTGTAGAGTAGGTAGAACGGCCGGCGCATGGCTATGACAAAGACACGGCTGATCTTCTGGTCGTCCCACTGCGTATGAAAAGCGGAATCGCCAGTTTCCTTGCGGAGACGTGCTGCCCTGTCCCTTAGGAGGCAACGAGAATTTGTCTCTCGCAAGACGAAAAAGCCTATAGCGCCAAAGGCAGCTGACGCTATCGAGGTTGAGAGGAACACGGACGGCAGCCCGAATCGCTGAACGAGGAACGCGCCTAGAATAGGGCCAAGTGTCGGTCCGGCGATGGGTGCGAGTGAGTAGACTGCAACGGCGGACCCGCGTTCGTCGGGTTTGAACGTTTCCCCGATCACGCCTCCGCCAATCTAATTCCAGGCGGCACCCATATTGTCAGCACCAACTTGCTACAACTATATTGTATTATAGGCGCACTTGTATGAGAGGAACATGGATCATACTATCAAACTTGCAGATCCTCCCATGCCAGCTACCAGCCGAAGAAGGATGAGGGTGGTGCTTGACATGGCTGCCGCGCAGGCAGCGTTCGCAAGGAGATGGACAACGTTGGAGAGTTGCAGCACGATCACCCGCCCGTAAATGTCAGACAGCGGAGACAAGAAGACCGGCCCCACGATGTAGCCCAAGGTGAAGACGCTGAAGATGGCCTGCAGCTCAACCTCGCTCGTTAGGTGCAAGTCACTCCCGATACGAGGCAGGGCGGCCGCGAGTATCGTCGAGCTCAGTGGTGACATGAAGCAGATGAGAGACACCATGACAAGATTCGTCCACTTTTCCCTTCTTGTCCAGTTACGAGGGTTGTCCGCATCGTCCAATTGCCAAGTGACCTGCATCGGCGAGAAACCATATTAGTCAAAGTGGGACGGATACAAGAAGAAGTTGTTGATGATGTTGAAGGCTTCTGTCGACTGTCAAGTCCATACCAACTTCGGTTCTACACCGGTAGAAATGACAGCCTCATCGGACGACTGAGGAACCGCTTCTTGCGCGGGTTCGATCTTGCACAGTGGAACGTCTTCTAGCGTACTCATTACACTGTTTTGATCAAACTCTTGTTGCTCAAGCATCTCCAACTTCCACGAAGTAAGCTGCAGCAGCAGCATGGGGGGGTCAGACATGGTAAGAAGTACAGATAGAGAAAAAAATTATGGTGAACTAGCCAACCATTAAAGTCATGTTCAGGCGCCTTGAGAACTCAGAGGAGTACCCTGTAGTTTCTCTCTTCTGATATAGGCATTAACTACGAATGCATGGGGCTCTTCGAGAGGGCTATGACTGGCATAACCATGATTAGCGGGACTGATAGTTAGGACCTCCTGAAACATAGTCATCTAAATAGTACGTATATGCAACACGATGTTGCCGGACAACAGAGCAATAGTTGACAAGACTTGGCTGCAGAGCACAGCAGGCTCTACGATGCTCTTCTGACTCGATAATAACTATCTCTCCCATATGGCACAATGATAAATCGCATGACTTCTCTGACGATCACACCAGAAGCCTGTAGGAGACTGCGGCGAACGGGCCACCTAGTTTCTATCAATAACCAGGTTGTCCTTGTAGTGAGTGTACAGTAGGTAAGCAAAAGTGTAGCTTAATCCCTAGTTCTACACTAAAACTTACTACGTTTACAAGCTTATTTAAGGCTAACTACTATAATATAAAAGCTAGAAGCCTATAAATATATAATTTAGAGTACTTAATACTATATATAGAGATCTTAGCTTAAGGTTATTAATTCTTTATTTTATAACTAATTAACTAAAATAGTACTTTTAAGTTATATTAATTATCCTTAATAAAAGTAAGATAATAATTTTTATAGTAAGTATATATAAAAGCTATAGTACTTAAAAGTTTTCTTATTAGGTTTAAAGATATATCTATTAGTAAAATACTAATAAAAGTAAGTTATAAGTTCTTAAAAAGTTAAGATTATAATAAAGTATTTAAAGATAATAAACTACTTATAATAAAAAGCTTTTACTACCTTATATATGTAAGAGTAGTCTTTAATACTTAATATAATTTATTTCATATTTTCTTTTCTATATATATAGTGTATAAGAAAAGTCTAAGAACTATAAGTTTTAGTGTAAAATAGGGGATTAAGCTATACTTTTGCTATCCTACTGTATTACTGGGTCGCAGGGGTATGTGAAAGTAATCGGTCACGTTGCAAATCCCTGAATTCTGTGACTGATAGAACCAATACACATTCTCTATCCCTTTGATTTAGTTTCTAACCCCGCTAAATATTAGAGGCTCGTATGCCCTCCATTCGCATTAATCACTACATCGCATCTTTCATGCATGCTGTAGAGTTGCTAGGCGCAGTACTCTTTTAGAGGAGTAAGTTTACCTCCATAACCTAATTATATAACGTATAGTAAGGTAAGAGAGAGCACTTAACACTTAGGTAATCGTATATCTAGTTCGCTTATTAATCTCTAATCTATGTATAAAGTCTGGCTCTAGAAAAAAAGGGTGCATATTTACGTACAGTCAATACTATCTATTAGTTACTTTGTATACTAGCCAGCTTGCCAGTAGTAACGAGTAGTATTCATCGTGATACAATAGCAGTGGTTGATAATATATAGGAAGGTAAATTCACTAATGGCCCGGTCGGCTGATAGGGGGACTGCCAATGTAAGCTACCTATACCTACCTGTGACCTACATCCGCTGGCTAACGGGATTTAGTGCAACGTCCACCCGTGTCAGGTACTTAAAACAATAGGGGGTGGTATACGAATAGCTAGCAGCGTGCTTTTAATTCGGCCGGCAGCCGCGTACGCGTCCGCTAGAGTGGCACAGACCACACAGCAGACTTGTCAGTTCACTCAAGAGTCTGCGCCTAAATCCTAAATCTACCCCTACTATTAAATCTTAATAAAGACTTAACTAGCTATGTCTAAGTAAGAAGGATTAGTAATATAAGAAGGTATATCTTAAAAGTTACTTTTAGTCTAAGTCTTTGACTATAAATTAAGGTTTAGTTATATACTATTATATTTATTTTTAATAGAATTTATTTTTATTCTTTAGTAAGGGTTTCTTAAGAAGTTATTTTTTTAGTTTCTTAATAAAGCTTTACTACTTTAAGAGGACTTTTTAAGCTTACTAAGTTATATATAATTAGTATAAAACTATATAAGTATAGTACTCTACTAACCTTATTTTACTATGCCTTAAAACTTATAATACTATATATATATAATATTATATAAATCTTTTACTTAAGTACTTTTCTTATAAAAACTAAAGTTCTAAAGAATTAGTACTTATAGAGTATTATAGTACTATAGTAAGTATAAGATATATTAAAAGTAGTTTAAAGGTCTATATAAAATATATTACTATATTTATTAAATACGTTTCTTATATATACTTACTAATACTAAGTATATAGTAAAGTCTACTAGTAAGCCTATTTAATATAAGACTTTATAATAATTTAATCATAAACTTTTATATAACGGTAAAGATATAAGGAAATAAACTTTATATTAGACATACTATATATACTTTACTTACTATTATTAATAGCTAGCTTAACTTAAAATAAGCTTAAGAAATATTTAAGTTTTATTAGTAACAATCTAGTATACTAAACTTTCTCTTTTTAAGAATTTTAATTTAAAAAAATAGTAATTAATTATATATTAATTATAAGTAAAATAGAACCTTAAATATTAATATATAAAAAGATAGCTTTATAAATAAACTATCTTACTATATATACTTTCTTATATTACTAATCTTAGTTACTTAGATATAGCTAGTTAAGCCTTTGTTAAGATTTAATATTAGGGGTAGATTTAGCATTTAGGTATATACTCTTATATAGTTAAGTGTGTTATATAGGTTACTCATGTCTTACACAGGCTTACTCATAGGATTTTAAGTAACCTCTACCTACATTGGTAAGTGCTTATAAGCTATATATATAGACTATTTATTTATTTACTTTAATACTATTTAGACTATTAAAATTACTATAGGTAATAGACTAGCTTATTAGTCTTAGATATAGTTACCAGAGGTAATTTCTTAGATATATACTATCTTCTTACCTCTTTAGCTACTTTAATTTATATCTTTTCTATAGCCTAGTAATACCTTTTATTAGCTACCTTAACTATTAATTTAGCTTCTTATATAGAATTAAGTTACTATTAGGCTACTATTTAATACTTATTATATACTAACAATATCTCTTTAGTCTATAGTTACTTATTCTTTTTAACTTAGTAGGCTTTATATACTTAATCTACTAATTAAGTATAGCTAAGGTTATTATAAGTTTAAATAAGTGTTATAGCTAGTTTCTAGACAGTAAGGTTCTTACTAATAGTAAGTAGAAGTTAATACTTAGTTAATAGTAATATTATTATTATAGTCTATTAATTACTTAGTAATTAGTTATATATTTAGGGTTTTAAGGCAGCTTATATAGCTTCTTATTAATTAAATTAATAAGGTTAGGTACTAAAAGGTATTTAGAGAATATGTTATGAGTTAATTACTAAAGAGCTATAGGAGTCTATCTATAGGTATGTTTAAGTCTATTTTATATATAAGTCCTAGCTGTTTGTTAAACTACTTATTTAACTAATAGTTATAAGTAATTATTTCTCTTATATAATGTAACTACTTAGTAAATACTTATAATTACTTACTTTAATAATTACTAGTAATTACTTTATTAGGTAATTACTTTTTATTTTTATATAACTTATATTATAGTTCTTTTATTTTAGGCAGTTATTAATATATTTTTTATTTCTTATTTATATAAATACTACTACTATGTATTATTTACTTATTAAGTTATGTAATATAGCTTATAACTTATTAAGTTATAATATTAGATCTTCTCTCTAGAGGTCTTACCTTTAAGACTTATATAAGGAAGTTATATTTCTTAACTTAGGAATTTCTTAATCTTAAATCTTAACTTTATACTAATACTATATCTAGTAAAAAGAATTATTAAACGCTTTTTCTATATAATGTTACCTAAAACTTACTTTAGAAATAAAGAAATTTTATTTTAATATAATACCTTACTTATTTTATTAATTTATAAGATATTACTATAAAATACTTACTAAAAAGTTAAGATATTATATATATACTTATTATATTTATTTATATAGTATAATTATAAGTACTATAAATAAGAAATAACAGGTAGATTAGTAAGTTAACTAAATAAATAGGTAAATAGATAGGTAGAAAGATAGGTGTAGTTTTATTATGCTTAGAAGCCATAAAGAGCTAGAATCTCTTAAGGGGATCTATCTCTTTATATAATTAACTAACTTCTATATTTCTAGTAATATATATATTAACCTTTATATTATACTATACTATTATACTATTATATAGATTTAAAACCTTATATTATTAAAGCCTGTTTAGAGCTAGTTATAGCCTGTTACACTACTTATTACAGCTTGTTATAGTATAATACGGTCTGTTTAATATCTAGTTTCATTTAAGTAGATATTTCTATTTTTAGTACCCTAGAGTAAATCTAGTTACTATTTATATATATCTACTTTTTATACTTCTTAGAGATAGAGTACTAGAGAGTAAATCTCTATAGGTCTATATCTAGAAGTAAAGGTTATATTAGTTATCTTATATATATATAGTAGTGTTACTTTAAGGTTATAAATAAGGCTATATTTAAGGTTAAGTATAAGGTTATAATTATATAAGCTTTCATATCTAAGTCTATATATAAATATAAGTATTTCTTTAATAATTATTTTTACTTTAATAAGTAGTAGTAAATTACCTTTTAACTAAGTCTAATTAGTTAGATTATAAAGAAAAAGAAGCTAAGAAGCTTCTTAGAAAGCATACTAAGGTGTAATAAAAAGTATAAGCTAAAATAAATTAGTCTTTAGTAAAGTTAAATTATTTCAGATAAGTAAAAGAGATAGTGTTTAAGAAAAGTTAAAGTATCTTAAATACTTTATTTAATAAGTTTATAATAATTTAAAGTAATTTATAGCTATTTATAAAGTATAGTCTAATAGTACTTTTAGTGTAGTTAACTAAGAGTACTAGATAAAGAGATCTAGACTTAGTAAATTTTA